TGGGGTGCGGGATGTCCCCCCCCCCCGAGGGTTGGGGATGCCCCACACACCCCTGGGGGGGGGTTTCGGGGGGGTTTGTGCTGCGAGACGGACCTTCATCCTTCATCTCTCGTGCTGTGTTTCATGACAAATCCTCTCCTGTGGAGCAGAGGGTCCAGCCCCGACCCCAGCTGATGGGGTGGGGGGCGGATGTTGGCCCCCACCTCACCCCTCTCTCTCCCCCCCCACCCCAAAAACCCCCCTGGCTTTGGCAGGAGAGTGTGGGGAGCTGAGGTCCTGTGAGACGTGCACGGCCACCACCACCTCGCACAACGGCACCGGCTGCGTCTGGGTGGGCTGCGGGACCCCCGAGGAGCCAGGTGAGGGGGGTCCGGGGGGGTCAGTGGGGCAGGGCCAAACCTGGAGGGGGTTCAGCCAAGTTGGGGGCTCCCAGGACCCCCAGTGCTCCCAGCCAGGGGTTATCCCAGGCCTCTGACTGGGTTTTTTCCAGCCCTTTCCACTGGGCCGTACTGGAATGGTGCTGGCTGCTCAGCACCCTTGGGTGCCTGATCCAAGATGCTTTCCATGGACAAGGTCCATCTCATCCCACCCATCCCTGGGGGGGCTGGGGGGGAGACAGGGGATCCGTGCCAGCCCATTGGATGGGGGGTGAGGGATTTTGGGGTGTGCTGCTCCCAGCCGTGCTGGATTTGGGGTAACACTGGGAACCCCCCTCTGGAAAAACCCCAGGAGATGGAGGTGGGAGGGAGCCAACTGTTTGTAAAGCCCTTGTTTGGGGGCTTCCCTTCAGGGGGGGGGGGCTGTGTGGATGTGACCCCCACCTTGCAGCCCCTCAGAGGGATGCCCACCCCGGGGAAGGAGTCCTTGCCACCCCAAGCTTTGGGCCCAAATGGCATGGGTGTCCCCAAGGGCTGGTTTGCTGGTGAGGGGGGGGTCCTTGGAAAAAAAACCCCACCTCCCTCTTCCCACAGAGCCGGGGAGTTGCGTGCGGAGAGGGGTGGCAGCGAGGGAGAGCTGTGTGCTCTACAACACCAGCACCCTGTGTCGAGGTAACCCCCCCGTCCCCATGCCAGCAGGTCCCCCCAGACCCTGCAGCACCCCCCCAGACCCAGCAGCCTTGGGGATGGATGGAGGTGCTGCCCTTGGATGCCTGTGGGGATGAAATGCCACCCCAGGTCCCCCCAGACCCTGCAGCACCCCCCCAGACCCTGCAGCACCCCCCAGACCCTGCAGCACCCCCCCAGACCCAGCAGCCTTGGGGATGGATGGAGGTGCTGCCCTTGGATGCCTGTGGGGATGAAATGCCACCCCTGGGACAGGGATATGGGGCAGGGGGTGCGTGGTGATGTCCTTTGATGACCCTTTTTTCCCCCCCCCTTTCCCCTGTCACTCCCTCCAGCAGCGCTGAGGTCCCACACCGAAGAGCCTCCACGGCCCCATAGCAAGGAGCCAGCGACGCACTCCCCAAGTGAGCGGGTTTGGGGGGGTGGGAGATGGTGGGATGGAGTTTGGGGGGGTCCGGATGCCCCAGGGGAGAGCGGCCAGTGGGTTGGGACAAGCCTCTTGGTTGCATCCACGGAGCTTCAACCTTGGCTATGCCCTAGGAGGTGCCAAGCTCAGTCCCTGTCCCCCATCTCTACCCCCATCAACACCACGATGCCAGGATGGGGCTGGGGGGAGCAGGGGGGGGTCATAACACCCTGTAGCCCCCCCCCCAGGAACCAGCCCTGCTGGGAAGTGCCATCTCCGGGCGGGTTGGTTGGAGCAAAGGGCTGGGAGCGGAGAAGGAGCTTCTTCCAGGAAGTGGGAACTGGAGAGCACGGGGCTAATTACGGCGTGTAATTGGAGCCTGGAACCCTCTGAATTATTGATCCCACCCGGATCCTGTCACCGTTGGCTCCTCTCCCGCCCGGTGCCAGCTGCTCCACCACGGGCAGGAGCCCATCCCTGCGTCCACGTGTCAGTGGGGACATCCCATGCAGACGTTGGGGTCTTTGCAGGACCCCAAAGCTCCTCTCCTTGACAGGGGGTGTCAATACTCCTAGGGATGCTGACAGCACCCATAACCACCCCCTCCACTCCATCCCCCCCCTCATTTTCCCCTATCCCTTAGAGACCACCACCACCACCAGCGCCCCGTTGACGGGCAGCCCCGAATTTCACCCGCCCGGCTTCGACACGGCCAGCTTCATCGGCGGCATCGTGCTGGTGCTGAGCGTCCAAGCCGTGGTCTTCTTCATCATCAAGTTCATCAAGTCCAAGGACAGCACCTACCAAACACTGTAAGGCTCCCGTGCACCCCCCCAGCCAGGGTTGGGAAGGCGGGGGGGGACACCCACATCAGCCAACCCCCTCCTCCAGAACCCAAAAATGGGGATCAGCCCCGATGTGTGGGGTCTGTGGCCCGTCTTGGCCGTGTCCTGTCACACCTGAGTGTTGTCTCCTGTGGTTGTTTGTGCCCGTCCATCGTCACCGGGTGGGGGGAGGATTTGGACCCCCCCCCACCCCTTTGTGTCCCCTCAGCTGTCCTGCCACCTCCTCTGTCTGTTGCTGCCTGGCCAGATCCTGGCTCCCAGCCCTGGGTGGGGGGGACACGGGACCCCCAAAACCACCTCCCTGAGCTGAGCCAAGTGGGGGCTCATTGCTCTTCCCCCCCCCCCCTCGCCTGGTGCTATGGGGCTCACCGTGTCTAACATGGGGGGCCGTGCCCCCTCTCTCTTTCCTTGCACGCTGCCAGAGAGGACAACCAGTAGGTGCTGGTGGCCATGGGGAGGGGGCTGCCCTCTCTGCACCCCCCAGAGCTTCACCCTTCTCTCGCCCCTCCCCGTGGGGTTTGGGGGGTGGGGGGGGCAGGATGGG